CACGCAATGTTCTGATTGCACCACAAACATAGTAGTCATCCTTACTTTTCACAGAGGGACTGAGTTTTATAAATATGAGCATGATAGTGTAGAATAATCATATCCAAGGACCAGTGATGGTTTCAAAAAATTTTTGGAACCTCTTCTGTAGGTTTGGCCTGCTTTCCGGGTCCACTGGTGGAACCTCTTCTAACTGGTTCGGTAGATTTGACGAATCGGTTCTACCGAATAGGTGCAAACTGGTAGGAACCCACCTCTGGTCCACTTCACCACAATGCTCATTTGTCCAGGTACTTCTGGATTGTCATTATGTCTAGACAGAGAATGTGCTGGGTCTTATCAAAACCCAGACGCTGCCACCTGAAAACACTGTTATTGTGCGCTCTGCCATCCGGAACCGCCCGAAAAAGGGCTGGTGAAGTGGGCGCTGCAATCCCCCCCGATCTGTCATGCAGTGCTTGTTGCTACTGCTGCTACTGCGCCCAGCTACCGTATCTCTTTGCTGCATGACAGATGTGGAGAGACTGGGGGTGGGGGTGGGGAGAGGTGGAGCAAGGGAAGAGGATCAATCTCCTCTGCATGAAGACTTTTCTCAGGACCCTAGATCTCCACTTTCTCTCCAGAAAAAGCTATTGGCATCGTTGGGATTTTGGCTAGTGAAAGAAGCACGGGATGGAAAGGAAACTTCGGAATGTGGCAGCTGCCAGGCTCTAGGAATACGGCGCTCCTGTATTTCGAAGTTTCCTTTCCATCCCGTGCTGCTTTCACTAGCCAAAATCCCCCCTCCCCCAATCTCTCCGGATCTGTCATACAGCAAAGAGATACAGTAGCTGCAAGGAACCATTAATCCAAATGGAAGGGATTCCCACCCCTCCTCATCCAATGAGTTGTTCCCAGCCAAGCACAGCAGCAGCCATTCAGCAGCTCCCACATGTCTTTTCCTCCTCGCTGATGAGAAGAAGTGAGCTGACAGCTGCTCCTTGGGCCAAGCAGCTCACCGTCACCGTCACCGCCAGTCCAAGGGAAGGAGAAAAAAATAAAGTATGGAGAGAGATGTTTGGTCCTGCCCTGCTGTGAGGGGGAAGAGAAAAGTGGAGTTGAGATTGATAAAAGCCTTACTATTTGAGTAAGCGAGTTGCATTTTTGTCCTCCCCGGCCCCCAGAAGCACTTTGCAGGCCTCCCAAACTCTCTGCATGCCCAATTTTTCACATAAAACAGGGCATGTAGGTGGTTTGGGATGCCTGCAGAGTGCTCCTGGGAGCCAGGGAGAGCAAAAACCTCTTCAAAAACTTGGTGCGTCTTATACTCCGGTGCATCTTATACTCCGAAAAATATGGTATAAGGAACAAAACCTCCACTGGGTAAGGCAAAGAAGACTCTTACCAAAGAGTAGATTGAGCAGCACCTCACGACCTGCTGAGCTGCCACTTCTGTAAAGCCCATACAGTGTACCAGTTAGCCAAGGAATTCCATGTCCTGACACCTCTATGACCATCATGAGAGGACGGACACTGCCCCATGGGGAATTCTCTCCAGCACATACACCCAGTAGTTTAGAAGCCCACAAATCAACAGCCAAAAGAGAATGCAGGGCAATACTCCAGAAAGAGGGGTTGAGCTTCATACAGTCCTCTTCAGGTAAAGCCTGTTGAGTGCCAGTACTAGTAGGAGAGTCTTTATGATGAGACACATTTTCTGGGGATATTGGGCCTTTCTGATTTGTCAATGACAAGAACTCTAGCCTACTGTCATAAGCCCGTCTCTCACGTATGCTCTTTGGACTGTTCCTAGGACTTGGCATGATGATGCTGATACAGCTTATCTGTGGAAGAAAAAGAAAAAGTTTGCTGCATCAAACCACATGTTTCTATACCTAGAATCATACAGATGGAAGAGGCTATGTAGGCCATCAAGCCCAGCCATGTGCTCCATATAGGAATCCAAACTATGCATCCTCTTGAATTCACCCAAAGCCCACACACTGTAATCGTTGAACTGTTCTTACTATTAGCAAAGGGTATTTGACATTCAGTGCAATTGGTATCTGCCTTCTTATAATTTAAATTCATTATTCTGTGACCTATAGAAATGAAAATGACATCCTTTCAAGTATATGGACAGCTCCATTACAGGTGGTCCTCAATTAACGATCACTCATTCAGCAACCATTCAAATTTGCAAAGGAGCTGAACAAATAGTATCTGAGAATGGTCCTCAATGTTCTGGCCATTTCAGCACCTCCACAATCATATGATCATGAAATGGCAGTTGGTCTTACCTGAATTGCTATTTTTGGGGCTGGGACAGGAGGCTCCAGTAGAGGTATTAACACAACCAATTGGCCATGAGACTGGGATGAAGCTGAAGCCACGCCTCTGTGCTCCACCCTTGATTTCCAGTTTATCGAAGTGAGCTCCCCCGAGACATGAAAACAAGGCACAAAGGAGAACTCCCTCCGCCACAGCTAGACTAACTAACCTAGGGCGGGCACTAGAGCCTCCTGCCCCAGCCCCAAAAATAGCAGTTCAGGTAAGACCAACTGCCATTTTCCGGAGCGAGGGACAGAAGGCTCCAGTAGAGGGACCTGCCAAAGCTAAGTCCCATGGGCGGGAAAACTACTGATCTGCAATGACTTGCTGTAGCACCCTACTCCCGAATGCAGCATCAACCGATGCGAACGCATCCAACCTGTACTGCCGAATAAACAGCGATGGTGAGGCCCACGTTGCTGCTCTGCAAATTTCGCCTATTGGAACGTGCGAGGCCCAAGCTGCCGAAGTGGCCACGCTCGTCGAATGTGCCATAATACCGGCGGGCACAGGCAACTTCTGGGCCTCTTATGCCAGGGCAATAGCCAAGTAGATCCACCGACTAATGGTGGTAGACGTAACCCTCTTACCCAGCAATGAAGGTTGGAAGGATAGAAATAGCACCTGTGACCTCTGGAAGGAGGGCATCCGCTTCAAATATATATGCAGGGCCCGCCAAACATCCAACCGGTGCCACTGCTGTTCCCATTCCCTAACCGGATCCAGACAGAAGTCCGGAAGTATAACCTCCTGGGAACAATGGAACTCATCTTTGGCATAAAAATCAGATATAACCTCAACACAACCCTGTTGATGTGGAACACGCACAAATTGTCCCTGGAGGAAAGTGCCCCCCAATTCTGACACTCGTCTAGCCGATGTGATAGCCACTAAAAACACCACCTTAAGAGTTAGGAGCTTCAGGCTAACTGTCCTCAATGGCTCAAAGGGTTCAGCCATGAGGGCCCGCAACACAGTAGGGAGGTTCCATGTGGGAAACCTATGGACCATGGGAAGGCATAAGTTGGAGACCCCCCAAATAAACCTCTTAACATTGGGTAATTGGGTGAGGGAAACAGAATCTTCGCCTGGAAGAACAGTAGCCAGGGCAGCCAGCTGCCAACACACTGTGCTTAGGGAAAGCCCCCTATCCAACCCATCTTGGACGAAGTCTAGTACCTGTGGAACTGAGGCCCTCGTGGGCACCACCTGGGCAGCCTGGTACCAGGTCACGAAGGAAAACATGTGGAGTCATAGATCCTTGTGGTGGATTGTCTGTGTGAGGCCTCTATGGTCCTAATCACGCGTGCTGACAAATGAACCCCTCTCAGGTGCTCACGCAGCCAGTGTGGCTCCGGGTGAACTAATCTCCCCTGGTGCAACTCTATCTCCCGCTCCATAATCTGCCAAGGAGGCTGGACCGACAGGGTCATGAGATCTGCAAACCAGGCCCTCTGCAGCCAATATGATGCCACCAGGATCAGCTCTGTCTGTTCCCTGACTAGCTTCTGAACAACCCCGGGAATGAGGGGGAGGGGAGGAAAAGTGTACAGTAGAGGTACCAGTAGAGGATATTAATCAGGAGAAAAATTATTTATGTCTTGTTTTTTGGCCAGACTGAGATGAACTGGAAATCAAGGGTGGAGCACAGAGGCGTGGCTTCATCTTCATTGCAGTCTCGTGGCCAATTGGGTGTGTTAACACCTCTATTGGCGCCTCCTGTCCCTCGCTCAGCCTAGTAGCCAGCCTAGATTTCTGATTGTTGCAATGTCCCACAGTCACATGATGACAATTTGCAACCTTCCCTTTTAGCTTCTGACAAGCAAAGTCAATTGGGAAACCAGCAGGAAGTCAGAAGCTGCAGTCCAGGGGTGGGTTTCTCCCCCCGTTCCAACCGGTTTGGTTGGAACGGGGCCGGCGGCGTCCTCGTGCACGCGCGCGCCACACGCATGCGTACTAGCATCTGTGCGATGCTCCAGCTGCTCCTGGAGGATCGCGCAGGCGCTGTATGCGTCCTGCACATGCGTGGAAGCGCAGAACTCGTCAAAACCGGGTAAGGAGCGTGGGCGGGCAGGTGGACCCTTCGCCGTTCCCGGAAGTTACTTACTTCCGGGTTCGCCGACCAACTTGTTCGCAGGGACCTCCGTGAACCGGTTGAAACCCACCCCTGA